TTTGCCAGGGCAGGTTGTGTTTTCTCCCAATGTTTTCTCCTTAATGTCTTCAAGGGCAAGACATGAAGGGAAATTCTACTTAAAAATCTAAACTGGTACAAAGAATAGAAAAAAACGACATAGTGTCTAGCATATTGTAAGATTATTTTATAGCAAACATTATACTCACTTATCCAGTGAAATGCTACATGTAAACATGCAGGTTAAGCCTGTGACACAATGAAATGGCTTCACTCACTGTATCTGTACATCTTTTGGATATGCTGTTTGAGTTAACGTTGGAATTACAGTTTATTTTACTACAGTTACATTGACTGTGAAGGTCTACTGAAGGTGAAAGTATCAAGAGGCAAAGTAATAATAGCAGAATCAAGTATATCCAGCATACTGACGTTCTCTTAAATTGCATAGATATTGAAGGAAGTAAATTATAAAAAGTGTTCGATATTCAATGGAACTATGCTGTGTCTATGACATTATTGTGGAATATACTGTGGTGGCAACTGATGATTATAATATCTTAAAGGATAACTAATGATGAACAATGCATTTTGAAGTGTAGAATATTAAAGAGCATGTGGCTTAACTACACACAACAGGAAAAGCCTTTATGTTGTTGGTTGGGACATGGGGCCATGTTTGGCTTTAGGACATGTACTAGTGCAATGTTGCCATTGATCGAGAAGAGAGAAGTGAATTCTGCTTCAGGTCAGGTTTTAGAATTTCAATGGACATTTTTTTATATTTATCCTTCAGTGAAAATAAATCATCATTCAAGGCAAATGTAGCTGACTGAAATCAAGCTAAACATGATACAAAAATGTAAAGAACAGGGATAAAACACACATCTACAAAAACATCTACAAAACAATGCTGAGACTCTCTCTCTCTCTCGCTCTGTCTAGCACACAAGCACACACACTCACTCACAGGACCGGGCCACCTGTGTCCTGTAGAGTATTAGTGGTGCTGGTTGAGGTATTACTCTAAGTAATGTTGTAGACTGGCTCATTAGTCACTAGACACCTTCACCCCAGGAGAAGAGAGGAAATTGCACAGGCACACATATACTGTAGACACCCACCCAAACACACACACACATGATTGCTGGCTGTTAGGTGGACAATATATTGATGTGTGAGCGTCCATGTCATTTCTGTCTTCACTGTATAATCAGTTTTTCATAACAGTACTCATCAATAATTAAGTGTTTAATTACAGCGTACAGAGGCAGCCGGACCAGGAGAGAACAGGCTGTGTACGGGGTAGAGAAAGAGTAATCGACTCTAGCCTCGGGCACATCACACACTTTCACTATGTGGTCAACTGATTTGACAAACCTTTTCAAAGTAATCTCTCGCTACAAGATGGTAAAGTAGATATGCAAAATGAGAATGAAAAGAGGATTTTCTTTTTGAGCTGCTGCTCATAACCAATTGCCCCTTGCGGGATTAATAAAGTTGTTGATTGATTGAATTGGCTTGAGCTATAGCCGCTGTAGGTAAACCTCCCAGTAGGTGTGTGAGTGTCCGTGGGTTTCCTGTTGAGATCAAACCCGGGTATACAATGTAAAACCTTTGATAAAGCGATCTGTCCTAACAGTATGCAGCCAAGTACTCATTAATAATGCATGTGACACTCTGCCACACACATATTCATGGAAGCATGGGTAGAAATACAAAGACACACACTTGATTCACAAACCTGTGGCTAGGTAAACTGTGGCCTTTCCAAAGGTCATCTTTCATTCAGAGTTAGAAATCAGAGATGGAAAGACAGAAAGACGACAGAGAAAGGCAAAGGGAAGATAACACTTTGGAAGTAGTTATAAACTTAGTGAAAGTGGTTCAAGAGCCTTAGGCTATCTCCTAATATATTGACATTGAGAGTCACTGTCAACCTTATCTCAAAGACACTCAACAAGAAAGGATCTCCAAACTTCAATAAGGATTCTCCTGCTGTATTCTTTCTGCTAAACAGCGTGATCTTTTTATTTAACTTAGATGAATCATCGAAAAAAATCAGCTCATCGCAAAGTATCCAATCTACAGGGACAGTGTATGCAGTCTTAAAGCTGGTGTCACTTCTACAGTATGTGTTGTACCCTAGAAGTCTTGAAAATAAATAACCTTAATTGTTTCTATTCAAATCATTTAAGGTACAATTCCAGTGAAATGTAATCCTGCCAGTACCTTTATAATACCAATAAATATGTGTATGTTTGGGGGGACACACTCCTTTTGAGGGCTTGTATCCGTCATAGTTCTTAGATCTTGTCAAATGCTTCTGGGATTGCCCTTTTGGAATTGTACTTTTTCCCCGCAGTCCCCTTTGGCCCCTTTTACTTCTCTTTTAGCTGCTTTGTAATAGTCCATACTGCCAGACTGAGACCCTAAATTGTAGGTTGCAGTGTATGTTTATGGCGTCCCATAGGTCATAGTGATCTATGGTTTTTCGTTTTGGAATAAATCTAACTGTACTTTTGGGTACAGTTACTGATTTTTGCTTTTAAAATTAAGTCCACCTGAGACTGGAGAGAATGATTCATTGTTGTCATTGGTGACGACGACAGTGGTGTCCTGGGACGTGCTCCAGACTGCATCATTTAGTTCGCTGTATAGCGGCCACTGTTCGACATAACCATTTCCTTACTTCAGGTGTCAATCGAGGCATGTGTCATCATTTGTATACATATTTCGACCACCTCAGCAAGATGGATGCTGTCCCCAAAAGTAAATAGTGATTCAGCTCTGTAGCAAATATGAATATCATTAATCGAGAGGGTTCATTCCAAAGTCTATATATGTTAATGCAAGTCAGACATTGTTAGGATTACCCTGATTGAAGTCTCCAGCAACAACGGCTACAGTGTAAAGATAATTGGTCTGTGAGCAATTCCGTACAAGGCAGAGGTCCGAGAGGGCAGCTTCTGTACTTTCTTCTGGTGTAATGTCGACCACTTGGATGCAGACCAAAGTGAATTTTCTTGGTAGAAAGCACGGTCTGCATTTCAAAGCCAATAACTCCTGATCAGGTGAGCAGGAACAGAATAGCATTTTAATGTTCCTACTGTGATAACAATCCTTACTCACCATAAAGCAAAAATCTTCCTCTGTTGGGTTGTATCATTATATAGAAATACATTAAACTGTTGAATGGCACTCTCCGAATTTCAGGATTTTACCAAGTTTGTGGAAACAAAGGATATAACAGTTGATGGAGATACAGAGGTCTTCCCGTTTATTATCCTATGCCTGTATATTGACAAGCAGGACGCTTGGCAGATATGATCCATGTTGCTGGGATCGCTGCCGGTCCTTAATTCCTCCAGGCTTAACCTCAGTGTCTCCTCCAATATAGAGATGGATGTAAAGATGGACATAGAGACGGTCTAGTTGTCAGTCACCCCATTTATCCATTAACTTCTTGCATTTGCCCTTCGTTCACATCACCCATTTATCTCCCCATTCATACATCTCAGGACAGAGAATTCAATATCAGAGCGCCTTAAGGTTACTCGCAGCAGAAGATGAGACACAAAGATGCAATAAAGAGTGAAAAGTGATCGATGTCCAGAGGTTGGATGAACTGTCCGCATCAGGCTAGATGATCCGCCACCCATCACCTACCCTTAAGACACACTTAGACACAATCAGACAAAAAGCTGATCCTCACAACTATCTCTCACTTCTATCATTTGAAAATGCACTGAAGCCAATTTTATCCCAGCTGCTTACGCATCCTGTGGCACCAGTGCATGGAAAAATGATAAGAACACCAGGGTGTTTACTTAAAATACACAAGACAGACACTTGGCAGAAGTTATGTGTATGGACATTCATAAATACTCCCTTTCCATTACTAATAAGACAACAATGGTGATGCCTTATAAAGGCAGAGTAAGGGGCGAAGTGAACTCGCTCTGAATGTATAAAAACTGTTTAAAGTCTTGATATAGTTGAGAATCTCTGACTCACTTCTAAGTAGAAATAAAGGGTGGGAAGAGAGGGGGAGAAAGAGAGAACATCCCTACGGTCGAAGCTCTCATTCTCAAATGGATCCTGCAAGAAATATCTCAGTCCTCACTTTCTACTCTTTCTGTGCGTGCTTTACCCATGCTTCCATTTGTTGTAATGGATCATTTCAACCAAACCCACAGCAATCTTACTAGTGTGAAACCTTAGCCAGACAAATAATTAAACTAAAACATAGACAGAAGCAGATTTGTTATGTTTTGGGGGCATTCAATATCAAATAGATATTCAATTCAAAATGTGTGTTTTAGTACTCCTTTGTCCAAAGTGTTAGTACATGTGCCTGCTAAATGTGAAACAGAAAATCAGAATCAGAAAATCTTTATTTGTCCGACAGCGGGGACATTTAAAAAAATGGAAATTCTTATTTTTTTTTTCCAGGACTAAAATCCAATAGTCAACACCTACAAATATGAGTTGTGGTATACTCTGCAGATGAAGCTCTTAAACTCAGAGTTTTGGGTTTAATCCATGTTTTTCCTTTTTAAAGATGAACTGCCAAGGACAACAGACACATTTTCCATTGTGATGTTAAACATTTAAATCTATTTTCTTAGTGTACGTATATCTATCTAGGAGTTGCATTGTATTGGTCCATCAACATAAGCTAAATGCACTCTTGGTAATCAAAAAAGGAATTTACAATATCACATGTGTCTAATTGATCGTCACAAACTTAACCATGTCCCAAAGTATACAACAGTTTAGTTTAGCATTGTGGCCCACTGAGATACACAACAAGGGCCATGTGAATACAAAATAATCACCAGTAGTTGAACCAAAAAGTAGATTAAAATCACCACATGGTTTTGGTTATTAATTATACAAATTGAAGTCTACAATGATTTGACAAAAAGCAGATGGAGATTATAGCCCTAGTTAATGAAGATATCCTTCTGTACAGCTTTAGTGCCAACGTAAAATTGCAAAGTGACAGTTGGTTCCTCTAAGTGGAGTGAGTATTACCTCCAAGGCAGCAGATCTCTTCCGCAGCAGCTGTTCAATTTTCGTTGCCGCTCTGGCAACCAGCTCTTCTGCATCGTTTTGCTCCACAGTGTACAGGTGTTGGTTTTGCAGAAAAATCTTGTGATAAAGAGAGAGTAGTGAACATGTACAATTGTTATCGATTTAACAAACACAATGTGTTATTTGCAACAAAAAAAGATTCCTTTTATTAAGAAATAGTGCAACTACTTGATATTATGGAACGACTGGTGTGGTAGGTCCATAGCAGTGTTGAAAGTGCTTAATGCTTGATTTGTATGCATGTGTGTGTAGCATGTGTGTGTTTATACCTCTGTGAGGCTCTTCCCAGCTGTGGCTGTGTCTGCCAGGGTGACAAGCTCTTTCTGCATCTGATCAACCCATTCTTTAATCCTATGGGACAAAGCAATGCACAAGACCAAAGTTAATCGTAACTCACATGCAACCAGCTTAGAAGAGACATCACAAACATTTCACAGTGCAATTAAACTGTCAATCAAGTCAACCTTTCATCTCAAGAGACCACCTGGACCGACAAAAAACAAACAAGGACAAAGAGAATCACTCTTATAGGTCAAGTTATCAAACTCCAATCACCGGGAACAAATACAATGTCATTTAATCAAACACGTGTCACTGGGTGTCAACCAATACCATTACTTTCTGAGAGTTCAAACATGAAGACAACCAATCAGATAAGTGTCAGCCAATGTTGTGACCGCTGACAGTGATATGAGTGGACAGGTCAGGACCGACATGCTTCTATGTATATCAAAGTGCTCTGGGGACATCAGGTCCAGCCTGCTGGTGCCACAAACTGGGTTATACCTTCCTCTCATCCTCCTCCAATCAATTGTCAAACCACAATCAGCTCACTGCATGCATTATAAGACACTGACAGAGTAAATCACTGCTTGCATCCTGAACACGGTGGCTGTGGACAGAGATAGACGCGCTAAGAATGTCAAAGACCGGAGACATTATGCATTAAGTGACACAGTGACTTGTTATTTTCGGACTCATCTAAAGGCACACCTGGAATGAGAGGCTAGGGGAGCGAAATAGATGTGTGCATGCAGATGCATTAATTCAACTTCTATACTGCCATGCAAGTACACACATACACATGCACACTAAAACAATGTTATTCATATTGTATGAGAATAATAAAAGGTTGGTGATACAGATGCTGTCATTGCCATGCATTCACACCAGCAAAGACTCAGTTGCAATCCTCCCAAATATCAAAGAGACATGTCATACACACACACACACACACACACACACACACACACACACACACACACACACACACACTGATATAAACTTAGAAAAACAAAGATACGAATACATATTCCACAACGATTGTCATTGGAGAGGTGGAATAAGTGTCATGAAAGTCAAGATATGTGTGCATAACATTGATGGTAGAAAACAGTGGAGGAAGGTGATCGGATGCAAACACAAAGAGATAAAGGTAGAGAAGATCAGAAAGCCAGAAAAGATATGGGAAGATGCACCAGGGACACAAAATACAGAGTGGATAGGGATCATTTGGAGCAAGTACGAAAAGATGAGACATGTTGAAATAGCAGGAATACCCGAGGGAAAAGCACAATGGTAAATGTTTTAGGCAGAAATTGTAGGTAGAGATATAAAAACAGGGTCAGTAATGAATTCAGATTATATTCTTTAGTTTGCAAAGACTTATGGTTGAGGAGTGTTGGACAACACTGTACTGGCTTGGTAGAGCTCATGGCTGTGTGAAAAGGTGTTAGGAGGATTTAAATCTGCCAAATGTTGTTTGGGTACAGATGTTTAACCATCAGTTGTGCTGGATGCAACCACATGATCTGGTCGATAGCATGAAATGTGTTATTAATTGTATCAGTTCTAAAAGGGTTAAAGAAACATAGACACAATATTGCTTGTATGTTTGTTTTTGAATGAAGTGCATTCTTGATCCTGCAAACTGCCCTTAAGAAAACATCAAAACAGAACATCAATCTTTGACACTGGATGGAGGGTGCCCAGATCCTAATATGTAAACAAACTTAATAAAAACTCAATATGTTCAATCCTTGCAACATGGTAGTTACAGCATACTTCATACAACTTTGCATTGAGATTTTGAGAAACTCCTCTTTTCTGCACTTTTTAGCCCTTTTCCAGTCTCTTCTCTTCTCCTAAATGAACTTCCCTTGATCCTCTTCTCTTCTCTCCTCTGCCCTACCCTTCCTTGTCCCTAAATCCACAAAGAACAAACCGTTTGTAAGGTGTTTTAGTGGACCTTGGTACCCTAAGCTCGTAAGCCTGAAGCATTGACAAGACAATTGTGAGTTACGTGTATGCTTGTCTAGACGTAAGTGTGTTTCCAGGGATTGGACATCCAGAGAAGTAGAATGCCTCTCTACAGAGTTTAGCTTCTTTGAAATGTACTGCTAATCTCTATAACAAGAATCCCAGGTGCTGACAAATAAATGAGACACCACAGGCTGGGTTGCAGTGTGTGGGCAATGTGCATGTCCAATATTGATGACATGGACTTTTCCCCCCTAAAATCTATTTATAATATTTTGGCTTCATGAGAGTGCCTCATCTGCAGAGTAGCTCATCCCAATTCTCACCATACTGAATCCCTTGTATATGTAATTGCATTGTCTGTGATTGTAACCAAACAATGCAATGTGCAGACAAAGAAGGTCTTCCCTGTAAAACTCTCACTTGCCTCATTATACACAGTAAGTACCATGCAATACAAAGTTATGCTCCGACTCCACAAAGCTTGTTGCTTTGTATGAATAGTTGCAGTGAAATCCCCTTGTTAAATATGCCTTAAACGGTCAAATGTATTATCCATAGGCATAGAAAATCTCAGCCCAAATCTGCATAACTCCTTATCCTTAAAGGTGACCTATCATGCAAAATTCACTTTTGTACGTCTTTTATACATGAATATGTTGTTCCAGGGAACTCACCAAGTGTCAGAAAACACAACCCTCTCTATTTTCCTCCATACCCAAATCTCTTAAAAAGGGGCTGCAACGGATCTGATACAGACTGATCCAGATTTGAACACTTCTATGATGTCACAGAAATGGCCAACTCCACCAATCGGGAGGAGACAGCCACAGACATTGCCATTCGAAAGCGCTGGAGAAGCTGTAGTAGGCCTACATATGCCAGGCCTGTAGATGGTGCTGTTCTCACAGAATCAGCCCATGCAAAAACAGTGTTAAATTGAGCGAAATGAGGAATGGCTAAAATGCATGATCTGTTTGGTATTTTTTTGGTATGGTCATACACTATATTATTCAAATATAGCATGATAGGTCCACTTTAACTCATGCATTTCCAACCATCCCTTCAGGTCCCAACCTAGTGTAATGGCGATGCTTCATAAATGTCATAAGGTGAGTCCTGCTCTCTGCCTGTCCCGGTTGATCTATGTGAAGTCAGATCACTTCCTGCATGTAATGTTTCTCATTACTTTCTAAACATTCACAAATAGGTGAAGGACAAGGAATATAATCTTGGAATAATCACAATGTTATTATATTTAATGTAAGCTATTTGCAATGGCTAAAATAGCAATGCGATTCAGAGATCCCGAATCATTAATAAAGTCATTGTTGATGAGCTGAGGTAGTTAAATTGTTCTGCTCTGGTTGCTGTGCTTTGATTACTACAGCCTCTGGTATAACACTGGGTAATTAAACACACACACAAGCACACACGTACAAATGGCAATTGGGTCAGACACTGCCCTACATTGTTTTTCAGACACAGGAAGAGCAAATGAGAGTGAAACAGAAAGAGAGCTGGAAAGACAGTACAAGTAAGAGAGAGACAGATGTTGTGATGCCATCACTTTGGCTCTAGATAGAGTAATGAGCTGGCCCTTGGTGTGTATCTCAGTGGGCCGCTATGTTAAACTGCAGTGTAATTACACATCATTACAGAGGCAAAGACAGAAGTCCAGACAGCAAAGCGGAATGAGGCATGGACACACCAGCAGCGATGCACGAATCAGAACGCAATCAAAAAAGATGTAATGCCATGAATATAAAAATAGTGATATTGAATGGTCACGATTACAATATGGAAGGGTGCCCAGTGTTATAGGCATTTATTATAGATGGGGCCTGAAACCGTCAAATCCAAAGACCCTTTTCAGTTCTTCATGCTGTAAGTGTAACCTACGGAGGACATGACACTACATGAGCAATGTGGGGGAGAGGCTTAACAAACAAACTGTATATACCTCGTAAATTGTTTTTCTTGCAAATACAAAGACATTCAAATCAACGCTGAAATGTTTCAAACTTGGCATCAGCAGATTTAGCACAAAAGTCTGTTAACTGAGTTTTGTGTTTTAACTAGGCTGCACAACCATAGGTATGTTTGCTGACACTAATAATGTGTACACCAGAGAGTTGCTGATTGTAAATGATGTTCTTCAAAAGTCCAGCTCCTTTGAATTAGGTATACTTCAAACTATAGTATGAGTTTTTGACTCTAACATTATGTTGGTGCTGTATAATTGTATTTCAATGTGCTGAGAGTATACCTTGATTTAAATAAGGTGAACAATATTGGAAATAACTGACCCGGTTACCAAACCTTTTATTCAATACAAAATATAATGCTTCAATGTGTGCTAAATGCAGACTTATTAGGTAACTGATACACTTTAATTTTCACTATTATGGCATGGGTCTCTCTAAAGAAGATGAGGTATATTAATTAGATAAATATATATATATAATTTTGTTTCTGCATTAATCATTTTAAATAAAAGGTATAGCCTGTATTATACAAACTCTTAAAATATATGTGAACTTCCCTTAATTGTATATTCACTTTAAATCGTTGCCAAAAAGGTTTGGTGGCTTTGGTGAACAAAGCAACCATCCTGAAAAATAACTGGATTTAAAGATAATCTTGTATGGTTTACCAATCTAAAACAGGCATATACAATTTAAGCAGTCCAATCTCTGATTTTGCCAATTAATATAAGATTGTTTTGCCCTATTTGTGTAGCACGTTTTTAAATAATCAAGTATGAATTAACGTCAAGGACCTATAAGACCTTCCAAAGTTGTAAGGAAAACGACAAGGGCCAAGTTTTTATTTTTTATTTAATTAAATGAACAGTCCAGAAGCCCCTATAACTCCTTAACAACTTCATAGACGAGCTGTCACGGAGTGGCCGCAGACATCTACCGGCGACAAACTGCTGATTACCGTAACCGACAGTAGGCTAAAACCGCCTGGAGAGGAGCAGCAAGAGCAAAACTGAACTAGTCTGCCTTCAAAATCACCAATAATGCATGAATGAAACGACCTGCCCATCCAATTCTCCCACCGTGATTGTCTCATTAAATATAGCCTGATACTTATCTCTGAACGACGAGCACTTTAAACCAGGAGTGCGCACACCAGAACATGGGATTAAAGGGGCCATACTTACATGAGCTGTGTTGGAAACTGCGATGCCAAAGACCCGTCCTGCCACAACAGGACAAGAAACACCCAGGATCGTACCCTGCAGGTATCCATTGTTAAAAAAGGGGGGAAATTCCCCGACGCGCGTCAACACCAAGTGGGCTCCGCTACCCTCCGCCGCCTGTGTATGGGAGCGGCGAGCAGCAGCAGCGTGAGTGGCAGTGTGTCGCTCCCTTTCAGATTAACGAGCCCTGACACCTCTAATCTGATCACCCGGCCATCCGGCGCTCTAACAGGTACTGGAGCTGGATCTCTCTCACACACACTCCCTCAATCTCTCAATCTCTCTCTCTCTCTCTCTTACCCTCTCTCACACATTTACACTGCTGTCTCCCATACATATGTTCCTTTTATCTTGTAGCCTAATATGACTCGTTAATGCTTTGACATATAATGCCGTTTTGATTACACCAACTTTTTATATTTTCAAATCTGATTTTGGTATGGCAAATATAACCCAAAAAACAACAATGGATTTAAATTACCTCTATTATGTTTTGCCCCAAAGCATCACTATATATATATATATATATATACATATATATACATATATATATATATATGTGCGTGTTTCCTTTATTCAAGGTGCACAGCATTTGTTATTTGGAGCAACAATTTATTTTATTTTACCTCCCTATAAAGAAACATCTGCTAAAAGGAGGGTCTGACCACAGGTACCACACATACAACGGCACGTACATTGAATACAGATTCAGGTTTGGCTCTTTAAAATGCCCGGCAACCTTTCAATCCCTGCAACCTGGAGGAATGGGAGAATTTACTGGCTTTGATAGCACAATCTCTGGCGGTCGCTATCAGTCATCCTGGTAGTAAGATTGGCTGCAAGCAGAGAAGCCGTCCCACATGGGATTCAATGCTAGTGTGACAGATCTATTGATTTCACAAATATAGTGTAAAATCTTAGGGGCAAAGTACAGTAAGAGCCCAATAAATCTCAGAGCCATCAATCATACCTGTTTTATAAGATTGGATTCTGTGATATGCCGTGCATCCCAACATGAGTGTACAAATCATAAAACACATATTCTCCCACACCAGTGAAGTATATATAATCATAGTTTCTGTTATAATTTTAAATTAGGAACATCAACACTTTGATTGAATAATTGAATAAGAAAGCCAGAAAACAAACCTAACTGTGTGTGTGTGTGTTGGAGTGCGCACGTGTGTGTGTGTGTGTGTGTGTGTGTGTGTGTGTGTGTGTGTGTGTGTGTGTGTGTGTGTGTGTGTGTGTGTGTGTGTGTCCGTGTGTAATTCAGGCCTGGAGGGAGGGTAGGGCAGCACAGGCGAGATGCTTGGGGATTTGGTTATCAATCGTTGCCTGGCAACCACACACCATCTTTCGTGTCCTCTCCCCTTCCCCTCCTCACTCCCCCCAGTTCTCTTTTTGTCTCTCCCATCACCACCTCTCCCCCTGCTCTCACTGCACTGCACTGTTGCTCTTCCTCCCTCAGTTTCTGCACCATTGTCCTCCCTTCCCTCCGTGTCACTTCACCCTCTCCACATTCTCTCCCGCTGCACCTTTCTCACACTCATTTCCCCCAGCAGAGGCACAGATGCACCTGCTGATGGGAGGCACAAAAGTAAGTAAATGGTGAGAACTGGAGAGGTGGTGTGGAGTAAGGGAACATAATAGAGAGTTGTGGAGAGGATGGAGTACTCTACTGCAGACATTCCCATTCAATTTTTTTTATTTTTTTTATTTGGAACATATCACACTATATCCTGAAAAGGAAGAGGTGTCAGACTAATCCCTGCACTGCTACACATCTCCTCATGTTAATCTTAGAAATGGATATTAGTAATAACATCTGTCGGACAGAACTTCACAGAGCATGCACCTCTCCCTACAGCCAGAGACATCGGGCTACACCAACACATTCCGTAGGCTCTATATGGTTACGTCACTCACATTTGGAACCATTATAAACTTAATTTAACTCGGAAATATTGCAACAGCGGTAATTCAAGTTTAAAAGTCTCAAAAATGCTACACCTACTGTCACAAACTGGATGAATGTGAAGTATTTTGTTAAAGGAGGATGAAAGCGTAATTAAGGAGCACTATTGGAGTGACTTTGATGGTTATTTGACTCAGGATTAATTAATTTGGATGCCCGCTGTATGAAGAAATTAAAGGACGGAAAACAATGGAAGTGGAAACAATTCACAAAGGGATTAAACTGTTTAAAACACATAAAAGTAAAAAAGTAAGCCGGCATGGACAATGACTATGTTTTAAAAATGCGCTTTTCCAGGCAAGCCTGGTTTGGACACTTTACGGGCAGAAGAAACATTTCTATTAAAGAAAGAATTATACACTTCTTTCTTTTTTTGCCTTTAATACTAACTTGAATTGTATTAAAATTAATTAATCAATTATTTTTTATATTTTTATTGTAATGTAGAGACAAGGCTTTCAGTGAGAATCATGTATTGCCTTACAATTATGTAAAAAGAATATGTAAACCCTCCCAGGTTGGGAACCACTGTGATAGAGGATACTGCCATCTGGAGGTAATTCATGCAAATCACATCTATTAGCTGCTGTTAAATATTATGCTTTAAACTAGTTTCTACGGTGGCCCTGAAGTGCAAGTCAAAACAAAATTTCACAAAACACTACAGCATTTCATAAAATACAACGACATTTCAAAAAACACTATAGCATTTCACAAAACGCTTCAGCATTTCACAAAACACTACAGCATTTCACAAAACACTACAGCATTTCACAAAACGCTTCAGCATTTCACAAAACACTACAGCATTTCACAAAACGCTACAGCATTTCACAAAACACTACAGCATTTCACAAAACGCTACAGCATTTCACAAAACACTACAGCATTTCAGAAAACGCTTCACATTTCAAAAAACACTACAGCATTTCAGAAAACGCTTCAGCATTTCAGGAAACGCTTCAGCATTTCACAAAACACTACAGCATTTCACAAAACGCTACAGCATTTCAGAAAACACCACAACATTTCACAAAACACTTCAACATTTCAGGAAACGCTTCAGCATTTCACAAAACACTACAGCATTTCCCAAAACGCTTCAGCATTTCCCAAAACACCACAGCATTTCACAAAACACTTCAACATTTCA